CATGCCAAAGCACTGTTCTCGGGATTCTAACGCCACGGATCAACCTGACTCTTGCGTCCTGACAGTCCTGAGTCGCGCCAGAACACCATTCCTGGGACTTCAAGACAGCGAACCCACCTAATTGTTGCATAATCCAGAATCCTTTCGAAACACCATTTTTGGCACGTTGATGATGGGGACCCGTGGAACTCTTGCAGATGTTTAAAACGAATGTGCGACGCGCTAAGGCGCGAACCACATTTTGAAAAGGAGCCGCCCTCAAGCCGTGAAGCCCTTGCAAACGTTTAAATCGAAAGTGCGCCGCGCTATGGCGAGAACCATATTTTGAAAACGACCCGCCCTCAATCCGTGAAGCTCTTGCAAACGTTTAAATCGAAAGTGCGCCGCGCTATGGCGAGAACCACATTTTGAAAAGGAGCCGCCCTCAATCCGTGAAGTTCTTGCAACTGTTTAGAACTAATGTGCGCCGCGCTAAGGCGAGAACCACATTTTGAAAACGACCCGCCTTCAACCCGTGAAACTCTTGCAACTGTTTAAATCGAATGTGCGCCGCGCTAAAACGAGAAACGCATTTTGAAAACGACCCGCCCTCACTCCGTGAAGCTCTTGCAATTGTTTTAAACGAATGTGCGCCGCGCTACAGAGAGATCCACATTTTGAAAAGGAGCCGTCCTCAATCCGTGAAGCACATGCCAATTTTTAAAAACGAATGTGCACCAGGCTAAAGCGAGAACCACATTCTGGAAACCACCCTCCCTCAATCCGTGAAACGTTTGCACCTTTTTAAGACGAGTGTGCGCCGCGCTAAAGCGAGAACAACATTTTGAAAACGACCCGCCCTCCATCTGTGAAGCTGTTGCCAATTTTCAAACTCCAGAGTCATACGTGGTGAGGAAGTCTCAAGCAAAACGCCTGGCCCGCCCTAAAAACTGGCCTCGGGGTGCGACAGGGAAAAGTTATCTATAAGGAAAAGGAATGGAAGAGGATGGGGAGGAGGTTGTAGACTGTAGACTGTAAAAAACGAACTCTTCCTGAGGAGGAGGATGAGGCGGACGAGGAGAAGGTGCAATCGAATGCTGAGGGGGATCTACCTGGCCGCCGCAGGCCACGTGATCCAGGTAACTACCAGAGGTCTCCAGGACTCATACGGCGCGCTTGGTCGGGTTGAACCTTGCTGGATGCTGCCTTCAACACAAGGTCGGCAGAGCGCTTGTGGTGTGAAAGGGACGCCTTCCCGATCCTGGCAACGTTTTCGTCGCCCTTCTCGGACATCAAGGCGACGCACTGCTGAGAAAAGTGCCCCGGGGTCGGCCATCGCTGTCTCCCCGCAGGCTGTGCAGAAGTACAGCGAGTGCGACGGCCTAGAGTGCAAAGCGTGCCTGGAGTGAGGCTCCTGGCTCCCCCAACCGTAACAACCCCACTGGCCCGAATTAGTCGTTCGCCAGAGCAGAGGATTTTGCCTGGCTTGCGTAGTGTCTCGTCCTCCGTCCTCCTTCCTTGCCTCTGCTGTTGCTTGCTCTCTCCCCGTCTTCGATGAAAAGGGGCTAGGAGGATCAGGAGGAGGAGGAGGAGGAAGAGGAAGAGGAGGAGGGACACTGGCATCGGAATCGGAACAGTTGCGACGCAACGAAGCACGCCCACAACACCTAGATCACATATCAATTTTGCGGGGTCTTAATTCCTTGGACGCCAACCAATGCATTTCCACCTCTGTCGATTCAAGCTAGAAGCTTTGACGTATGTAAGACATCGCAACTGGTCTTTCCACAACATCTCCACCCCTGTCGACGGCGACAAGTATCCAGGCAAGCCGCGGTCTCACGGCGTCCGCGCGCGCGGCAAGGCAGAGTCTGAGAAACCGATCGCACGGCTTTGCCCCTCCGGTATCCGCTCCTTGATCATTTTCTTAACCTTGCCGAAGGGGTCCTGGCGCGGGCCGCCGCGTCTGAGGTCCTTCCCGCCCCCCTGCTACTGCTTTTTCTCCTCCTCCTCCTCCTCCTCCTCCTCCTCCTCCTCCTCCTCCTCCCTCCTTCCTCCTCACCCCCCTCCTCCTCCTGCTCCTGCTCCTCCTCCTCCCTCCTCCTCCTCCTTCATCTTCTCCTCCTCCTCCTCCTCCTCGTCGTCCTCCTCTTTCGACTCCTGCTTCTGCTCCTGCTCCTCCTGCTCCTACTGCTCCTGCTGCTCCTGCTGCTGCTGCTGCACGCAGTCATACGGCCTCCCCAAATCGCAGAGGGGACGATGATGATGAGGATGCGGAAGAGGCGGAGGAGGTGGAGGAAAACGGGGTGTAGGAGGATTTTTTACAGCGCGCCGCTAACACCCAGGCTCCAAGGGCAGAAAACCTGCCAAGGACTGGCCGCTAAGGCAGAACATGTATGCATCAACCCAAGATGAGGCGGTCTTCGCCGGAGGAAGGCCTTTACAACTTCTCTGCAAAACTTCCAACTGCGCCTCGGGTATAACATGCGGTCCGTTCGTGACGGCAAGACACGGAACCCTCAAAAACGCACCGGGAGACCTGTTGGCCCAAAACCCGCACCCGCCACAAAAAAAAACGGACGACCTACGCCACAGCGCGTGCGTGGGGTGCACAAGGCTTGCTGGAAATCCAACGGGAAACTCGAATTGGCTCGGGGTCCAAGCGAATGGACCGCCATAGGGACTCGTCTCGAGGCGGAAGTTGTTTGCCTGGACGGGCCCATTTTCTCGAAGACCTTCCCCCCTTCCCGTCCTCACGCACGCGCTCACGCACACACGGCCCCGCCCCTCCCTCCAAGGTGGCGAGGCACATGGAAGCAAGGCGAGCGCGGAGAGAGGGGGCGGTGTCCTTGACCTGTCCCTGGCGAAGTGAGCAAGACCACACACCTTCACACAGCGACCAGCGGTGCGAGCTGGACCGAACATCTGACTCGATCCACCTGCGGCGCCTTAGCACCAAGTCGATGGGCTGCTTGTTCAAGCGTCTGTCTGGCTCCACCTGCAGAGCGGCACACTCAAGGATGATACTCGAATTGCACTTAAGAATTGCACAAGCTTGCTGAACTTAATTATTATGATCGCAGACAACATCCGCTGAAACCTGGCAGTCGTCCGCCCGTGCGTCAGCGAAATAGTCTGCGAGCGCATTCAATACCACATGGTCCCAATTAACTGACTCACTGAATGGTGCACATTCCAGTGAGCTTTCAAACAAGTCAGAAGAAACATGAGAAAGGCGAAAGGAGGCAGGTCGAGAGTCGAGCAGCTCTCAGAACTCCCACCACAGGTCATAATTCGCCAGCTTGGCAGAATAAGCCTTGCCTGAAATGAAGGCCTTCGCTAAATTATTATTATCACTGACCACGTGCAGATCTTGAGAAGGGCCGGCAAGCCTCAGACACTCAACGTTGGCCGCAAGCTCTGCGCGTGGAACAATCTGCCTCGTAGAATCCCAAACTCTCGTGACAGCACAATCTCAATCGAAGTCAGGCCTTGGGACCATCCTGACTAATGACACTGCAGCACGCCTGAACACAGGCAGCTTAGAGGAAGGGCCTCCCGACCCATCGGCGCCGTACAATCCCCTGGGTAGAGATCCAGGCAGGAGGGGCCTAGGCACGCGGACGCCACGGAGCAACAGCGGATCGGGGAGGGGCGGCAACCGAAACCAACATAGGGGAATCAGCCTCCGGACCCCGAACCATGGGAAATCTGGCACTTCCTGGAGCGCCGCATGGCGCAAGTGCTGGGAATCGGCAAGATCTGGAACTATACAACTGTCGTTGCACATGCAAAACCAGAAGCGATGAGATGAAGATTCAGGGTCACCCATGCAGCGGCGGCAGAATGGGTCAGGGGCCAACTGCGCAGCATGCCTCCTTTCCGTCGTCCAGTAGCCGCCGGCAGCGATCAACCTGACCATGGAACTCATATCTCAACGCCCTTCCTTCTCAAGGGAGGCGACGAGCTCCCAAACGTGGAAAAGCGAAACTGGGCCCTGGATACCTTTGCCGTCGAGATATTCTGCTGCCCGGCTCCACTGCAAGGTCGATCAATTCGCCGAAGGCTTCTAAAACGGGTCCCAAGGGTCCTCGACCGCCCGCTTTCATCTCCCAGGAGTCGCAAGAAGGGTAGACCAAGGAGAAGGGATAGGAGCAAGCCCACCCAATGGCAAGCAAGGAGGCCTGGAAGGCAGCCATCGGACCTCGGACCCAAGCCCAGCCTTGACGAACCTCTTCGAGCGAGACATCCCAGAATCGAGCCAGACGCTCAAGAAACTTCTGGTTGCCAGCACTGCGTGAGAACCAGGACTTAACAATTGTAATGGGTCTTGCCCCAGACCACAGGTGAACCGAATAGCTGACGTAGCACAGGCACACTTCTGTGGAGTCTTGCTAGCAGCCCGAGCCATGCTTCTGAGCCCTCGCAGCATTGAAGGAGAAACTCCCTGGAGCTCAGGGGCCCACATGGCCTTGGCAAAAGCGTTCGGGTAAAACAGCTTGCAAGCAAGACGGTTTGTTTATGACAACCGGAAGATGCTGTACGTAACGTGTCGGCCCTTGGAAAACCGCTCCTTGCGAACTGCCACCGTGCGGCGCGCACCGAGAGCCGTATAGTGCCCCGGGTCCCTGGGCACCAAAGAAACCGTGAAGTCACACCCCTCGGCGAGGGCAGCAGCAGAAAGCTCTGAGAGAAGCTCTGGCGACGATGCCAACAGGTGAGACTGATCCACGGCCAGCTGACAACGGCGACGTTTCAAGCTGACCAGAAGGGCTCGAAGCAAGGTGGGAAACGTTGCCGAAACACTGGCATGCGTGCCGAAGAACCTGGCAGAAACATCGTCCACCCACTCACGAAGGCGGAGGCCTGGTATAGAACCGTAGGCACACCCAAAGGGCTCATGGAGGTGCGCACGCGCAGTTTGAAGACCCTGAAGCATGCCAAAGCATCAACCTCGGGATTCCAACGCCACGGATCAACCTGACTGCTGCGTTTTGACGATCCTGAATCGTGCCAGAACGACATTCCTGGGACTGCAACACCGCGAATCAACGTAACTGCTGTACCCTCGTAATCCTGAATCTTTCCAGAACGCCATTTCTGGAACGCTGGCCGTGGGAACCCGTGAAACTCGGGATGCGCGCAGCGCTAAGACGAGATGCACATTTTGAAAACGAGCCGCCCTCAATCTGTGAACGTCTTGCAACTTTGTAAGACGAGTGTGCGCGGCGCTACGGCGAGAACCATTGAAAACGACCCGCCCTCAATGCGTGAAGCTCTTGCAAATAGTTAGAACGAATGTGCGCGGCGCTAAGGCGAGAGCCACATTTTGAAAACCTCCCGCCCTCAATCAATGAAACCCTTGCCAACTTTACAGAACGAATGTGCGCGGCGCTAAAGCGAGAGCCATATTTTGAAAACCACCCGCCTTCAATCAGTGAAACTCTTTCGATTTTTTGCAACGAATGTGCGCGGCGCTAAAGCGAGAGCCACAATTTGAAAACGGCCCGCCCTCCATCGTGAAACTGTTGCCAATTCTTAAGCTTCAGGATCGTGAGTGGTGAGGGAAATTCAAGCGACACGCCTGGCCCGCCCTTTCGACCGGCCCCGGGGTGTGACGGAGAAAGTACTGATCATGAGAAGTACGTGGAGGAGGAGGAGGAGCAGGAGGATGAGGATGATGAAGATGAAGATTGGGAACGGTGCCGTCACGCGCCACAGATAACATAGGTAGGATCCCGGCGCGATCCCAACTAGGGGTCTTCTTTTATCCCAAAGAAATTCAAGGCTTCTGTGAACAGCGCAAAGACAATGCAATGCGACTCAAATCATTGTTCGGCGCCGAAGCCTCGGGTAGAGAGGGGGAATCGGCTGCAACAAGTAGCGCTACGGTCGGGAACTTTGCTTAGCTTGTCGCCGCGGCGGCCCTGGCGACACGCTATGCCTTGTGAGTGGACAACGTGTCGCTCCGCTTCGCGGGGCGGGAGGCAAAGAAAATCTCGGGACGTTGACGCCTGGGGACCAGGATGTGGATAGCATGTTGCGCCGAAGCAAGGCGCGCCCACACCAGAGGAACGACACGCTCACCAAAAGTTCCCGACCGCAAATGGCTAAGGTGAGGGCATTTGATTAAGAAGCCTTGAACACCGAATCCGGGATCTGGAAGCCGGTGGGGTACCAACTGAAGCTTGGCCATGGATGCCACCGCCGCTCTCAAGATATAAGGGAGCTCTGGCGTAATTATGCACCCGCTGAATCCGAAAACGTGGGTGTCTCTTGGAGGGGCCGCATGTTTTACGTCCAGCGGCCTCCGCGGACCGTCCGCCAGCTTCCGTTGGCGGAACCGCCCTCGTTTTACTTCCGCCGCGTTCCGCTGGAAGAGATGTCAACTTCTCGCCCGCTGGAAAGCGAGGCCTTTTCTGGAACGTCCCAAAAAAGGAACGACCCTTTGTGGCCCCAGCGGGGTCTGGGTGCACATGGGTCGTTTGAGGAACAACCATGCAAAGACATGAAAAACAGCGAGCCCCTTCCAAATCCGAACTGTTCGTTATTTCGACGCCTTGGCAGTCCACGCGCAAGAATGGGCCCAAGCAAGAACGACTTTTTGGCGCGAGGCTTAATGGGGGGGGGGCGAAACATTACATTCAGCGATCGGGGGGCCCCAGTGGGCCCGCGCTTGAGTTTTCTCTGGCGAAGGTTACGAACTCTTATGTTCAGCGGAGGAAATGGAAGGGGGATGAGAAGGGGGGAAATGGATTTGAGCAGCGGTGTGAGGAAAGGAGGAAGGGGGGGAAGACCGGGGGCGAGGGGGTCTCGGGAATCCCCGGAGGCCTCCAGAGCCCTTCAGAACCCCCCTATGAGTCCCTGGAGGTCCCGAGGCATAACAACACCCCACACCTCCATCCTCCTTCTCCTCCCCTTCCCTCCTCCCCCCTCCCTTCTGCTGTTGGCCACTGCCCAAGTGATCGGTCGATCACAACATCCACACATGCACATGTATTCACATGCAGAAAGATGATGATTAGGAGGATGAAGAGGAGGAGGAGGAGGAGGAGGAGGAGGAGGAGGAGGAGGAGGAGGAGGAGGAGGAGAGGAAGGTGGAGGTAGGAGAGGTAGGAGATGGAGAAGTGAGGAGGGCCCCCAAGCCTACCCCGAGGCCTCCTCTCTCCTCCTCTTCCTCCTCCTCGCCCCTTGCTCCTGGGGGGCGAGGGGCGACGAGAATCATCCTCCTCCCTCGTGGGATCCTCCTGCACCCGCGCCGCGATCGAGGAGAGCACGCGGCTCCCGGTCTGCTCGGCGCGCTCCTAAACGGGCGCGCGGCCGCTCCCCGGAGGAGGTCCGTCGATCGGTCGGTCGGTCGGTCGGTGCCGCCGTCGTCGTCGTCGTCGTCGTCGTCGTCGTCGTCGTCGTCGTCGTCGTCGTCGTCGCTGTCGTCGGTCGGTCGGTCGGTTGTTCCGAGGGGGAGCAGGATGAAAGAGGGAGCAGAAGGAGGAGGAGGAGGAGGAGGAGGAGGAGGAGGAGGAGAAGGATGAGGAGGAGAAGTGCTCTCAACCACAAGCGTTCCATGCTCACCACTGTTGCTCGAAAGCAGGGTTGGTGGCCTACATCTTCATGCCCTTGGGGCGAGAATGTCAGAGAGGTCGGTGGATAAGAAGAATGAAGATGAGGAGGAGGCGGGGGAGGTGGTGATAGTGGTGGTGTGTGGGGTGGTGGTGGTCGGGGGTAGGGGGAGAAAGGAGAGAAGAAGGAGGAGATGGACCCGTGTAAACCCAAGACCCACGAACGATATTGAAATAAACCCTCGCTCCAAGCTCCCTCTTCATATGCCCCTAGATGGTGATTTTCACTGAAGGAAGAGCCCCGTTGGAAGACAACCGTTTGAAAATCCTGAACCGTGCCAGAACACCATTCTTGGGACTTCAACGCCACGAATCAACCTTACCACGAATCAACCTTACTGTTGCGTCTTGACGATCCCGAAAAGCGCCAGAACACCATTCCTGGGGCTTCAACGTCGCGAATCAACGTAACTATTTCGCCCTGACAATCCTACATCGCTCCATCATACTATGTCTGCTATTTTACCAGTGAGAAACCGTGAAGCTCTTGCAATTGCAATCAATTAAAATGAAAGCGTGCGGCGCCCAAGTGAAAACCGCATTTTGAAAAGGAAACGCCCTCCATTCGTAAAACTCTTGCATGCTTTAAACTAATGTGTGCGGCGCTGAAGCGAGAACCACATATTGAAAAGGACCTGTCCTCAATCCGTGAAGCCCTTGCAATGTTTTACAACCAATGTAGGCGGCGCTAGAACGATAACCACATTTTGAAAACGACCCGTCCGCAATCCGTGGAACCCTGGTGAAATTTCAAGCGAATGTGCGTAGTCCTAAAGCGAGAGCGAAATTTTAGAAGCGACCCGCCCTCTATCTGTGAAGCTGTTGCCAATTGTGATGCTTCAGCGTCATAAATGGTAAGGAAGTCTCAGGGAAGACGCCTGGCTGGCCCCTCCCATCGGCCTCGGGGGGCGGCAGGGAGGAATTACTGTACTTGTTTAATGAAAAAGAATGGAGGAGGAAGAGGAGGAGGAGGAGGAGGAGGAGGAGGAGAAGGAGGAGGAGGAGGTAGGGAGGAGGAGGACGGAGGAGGAAGAGGAGAAGCGGAAAGCGGAGGAGGAGGAGTGCGGAGGAGGAGGAGGAGTTGGAGAGAGTTTGAGGAGTTGGGGGAGGAGTAAGGAGTTGGAGGCTATGAGGAGCGTAGCGGCAGAATGATGAGGAGGAGGAAAGCGGAAGCGGGAGGAGGAGGAGCGGGAGGAGGGGAGGGAGAAGGAGGAGGAGAGGAGGAGTTTTCAGGGTGTTTGAGGAGTGAAGGAGGAGGAGGATGAGCGATGTTGTGATGATGATGATGATGATTGATGAGTGTGGGAGAGGAGGAGGAGGAGGGTGGAGGAGGAGGAGAACGGAGAGAGCAGGTGGAGGAGGAGGAGGGGGGGAGGAGGAGGAGGATGAGGGGGAGAGAGAGGAGGGGGGTGTGAGGGAGAGGATGAAAAGGAGGAGGAAGGAGGAGGAGGAGGAGGAGGAGGAGGAGGTGTTGAGAGGAGGAGGAAGGAGGTGGAGGATGAGGAGGAGGAGTTGGAGGAGGAGCAGGAGCAGGAGCAGGGCAGGAGGAGGGAGAGGAGGAGAGGAGGAGGTGGGGCAGGAGGAGGAGGGAGGAGGAGGAAGGAAGGAGGAGGGGAGGAGGAGGAGGAGGAGGAGGAGGGAGGAGGAGGAGGAGGAGAGGAGGAGGAGGGAGGGAGGTGGAGGTGGAGGGGAGGAGGAGGAGGAGGAGGAGGAGGAGGAGGAGGAAGGAGGAGAGGAGGAGGAGGGGAGGAGGAGGAGGAAAGGAGGAGGAGGAGGAGGAGGAGGAGGAGGAGTGGAGGAGGAGGAGGAGGAGGAGGAGGAAGCGGAAGCGGAGGAGGAGGAGGAGGCGGAGGAGGAGGAGGAGGAGGAGGAGGTGGAGGAGGAGGAGGAGGAGGAGGAGGAGGAGGAGGAGCAGGAGGAGGAGGAGGAGGAGGAGGAGCAGGTGGAGGAGGAGGAGAAGGGCCCCGAGGCGGCCCCTCCCGTTGGGGAGGGGCGCTTCGGGACTCCAGGGCCCTCCTGGTGCAGGCGGGGTGCGCCGGGCCTGAGGGGCGAGGAGCGCCCGCTCCCGGGGTGGCCCCCGAAGCGGGGTCCCCTTCCCAAGGGGGGCTGCCTGGGGGGCAACCCTCCGTTGGGTACAGTCGGCCCGTGTCATGAGGGTGTTGCTCGAAGTACCCATGGCCCAAGGTACCCCCAGGATTCTCGGGGGTGGCCCTTGTCGGCCTCCAGGGCACCCCTCACGAGGCCCAGAGGGCCCCAGGGGCTCCAAAATGGAGCGAAAAGCTGGGGGCACCTTGGGCCAGGGGCACTTCTAGCAACACCCGAATCGTAAGGATGCGCGATAAGGATGCAAGGGCCTTGGACGCCCATGCTGACACTCTGCGAGCGCGGCGCGGCCGACGAAAGTGGCCAAGGATGTGCCGAGGATGGGCCGCGGAGGCAAGGGTGCCCGTGGGAAGGTTGCGCATCCTTGCCATGCGGGTTGACTGTATGGGATCCCCCCCCCGTGTTCGCCGATCTGGAAGTCGTTCCCGGCGGTCCGTCCTCCCCGTCGCGTCGCTGCCGCCGCTGTCGTCGTCCAGCGGGCCCCGTTTGGGGCGGCCCTTGTGCACAGGAATCGTCCCGTCCTCCCCGCTGGGCCCCTGTGCCCAGCCCGCACGTCAGCGACGAGAAGAGACGGGACTTACGCGAGATGACATAGCGACCTTTCGCGGCGGCTCATGCGGGCCGCCGGCGCGGCACGCCACATTGGAAACAGGGGGTCTCACGCGCGACCCTGCGCGGGGAGCTTGCGCACCAATGTCGGCGCAGATGACCCCGTTGCTCTGCGTCGCGCACTCGGCTCTGCCTGTGTGGGTTGGGGTGGGCACGGCCGAACCTGGGCCAGAAGAGCATCCCTCCAGGACACGAGGCCCTCTGTCGGCCAAGACAAACAGACATAACAGTCAAGCGTACCCTCCCCCAGGGTGCACAAGAACATCCAGGAAACACGGAACTTTTTTTTTGATCCGCGGGTCGAGAGCGCACCTCTTCCGGTCGAAGCTAAGCGGGCCGCGCGAAGCTTGAATTTACAAAGAGGGGGGGCAGAAGGAGAGCGGCCTCACGGCAGCATCCAAGAAACACGAAACACATTACCGTACCGTGCCCGGACCGACCTCGACCTGACGCCTCCGACCCGCCTCGAAACCAAGCGCAGGTTTCCGTCTTGCCCCCCGCCCCCCAAAAAGTTTCAGTGTTGCTGGACGCGCGGCGCGCGGCCCGCGGGGTCGACAAAAAAAAAGGCAGTCGCCAATGTCGGCGTCGACACTGACGTGGGGGCCCGGGGGCGTGGCCATGTCGCGGGGAGAGAACTTGCGCTGGACTTCGAGGAGGGGCTCGACGAGCGCGTTCTCCGCTGCTCGCAGGGCAACTGCGTGCTCGCGAAGGGCCTGGATCCGCCCAAGGGGGGGATTTGCGATGCACTGCATCCGATGCCGACGCGTGCCTTTCGGGCGTCTGCGAACAGCCACTCTGCGAGTCGTGGCACGCGCTCGGTGAGGGACGTTGGCCCGCCTGCAGCTGCAGGGGGGGGGGGGGGACGGGCGGCGGCGGCATGCCTG